AAATAAATAAATAAATAAATAAATAAATAAATAAATAAATAAATAAATAAATAAATAAATAAATGCAAGTTTCGGATTATTGTAGAGGAACTCACAGTGTTTGTATTTAAAGAATTAATAGTACCTTCATTTTAATCAGACTAAAGATCCTACATTTTAATCAGCAAAAAATTACCCTCGTTGTGATGGAGTTGTCAGCGGGATTGTTTACAGAAAGAATGGGAGTGTTGGCGGTCACTGTGACGGCGTGCAGCAACGCGGCGGCGCGGCGGCGGCGGCGGCGGCGGCGGCGGCAGCAGCAGCGGGCGGTGGGCGTCGATGCACTGGCGGCGTGACGGAAGCATGGAAGGATGGGCATGGTGGCGACATTGGAGACGGTGATAGAAATGTGGGAAACGACGGATTACACACTGACGGCGGTAGGAGGAGGAGGTGGTGGTGACTGTTGAGTCGTGTTGGTTGTCGGGAATGTGGTAGTGTTCTCGGAGGCAGCGGTGGTGGAATGGTGGTCACGGCGTGGCATAAATGCAGTGACGGCAGCGGTCGCAGCAGCTGCGGCGTTTTGATTTCACTTGATTTGATTTATTTTGTCAAAGAGCAATAAAAGCCGTATGCGACGTATGGGGGAGAAGTACAATTTGCGCGCGTTATCTACCGAGACGGTGGAAAGTATGGCATGGCGTAGGGTTACCGTACGTCCTCTTTTCGCTGGACAGGTTCTCTGTTTGAACTAAGAATAATTGCCCGCAGGATTTTATAAGAAAGGACGAAATGTCCTTTTTTATTGGAAAGAGAGTACTACTTTTAAATGCAACCTAGGCGTACACAGTACAAAGGATATTGCGCGTTTTCAACTTTTTCGAGTCACCAACTTCATAACATTTCATTGTTGTATAAATAAATACCAATCGACTTCAACTCTCGCGCCCAACAACCACCAAAATCCATAGATCAACTATATCCACATGTCCTTTTCTTCATGAAAAGCGACAGTGCTGCGACAGTGCTGGTACAGCATATTGTATGATGGTGCTGGTTATAGATTCTGTGCTCTGTGGTGCTAATATTTCGATCAGGGTGAAAAAGAAAAGTCTTGTTTAATGATATACTTAAAAATTGAAAGCGTTTGTTGCAACGTTCAAAGCAAAGCAATGGTTTAATTGTTGAGGGAGATTTCATCATCCACCAAATACTTCTGATACAAAACTGGAAAAGACATTAATGGTAATGAAGTGATGACAATGATTGAAGTATTTATTTTGTCTGTAGTATTCGGTCTTTAAGAAAAATAAAATTATTATATTAAAATATTTTATATGAAGTGTCCTCTTTCTAGAGTTCCTCCTAAGAAATATCCTCATTTTCTGTTGGAGGGCGGTGACGGAAACTGAGTGCTGGTGAACGGTATATATGCCGGACGCTCACAGTGAAAGCAACTCCTACTCTACAACGGAATGTAATTTTGTAAATAAAGACCTCTACAACGGAATGTAATTTTGTAAATGAAGACTTACTCACATCCGATCGGCGGCGACAGAAAAGGGGGGGGGGTGACGGTAGGTTTGGTGCCGTCAATGGTAAGCAGTGGTGGTGGCGTGTTGATCATTGCCAAAAAAATTAGTAACAGCGGCATGAAGGCTGAGGAGGCGGCGCCGCAGCAGATGGAGGTGGGGGAGAATGAGATGGCGACATGAGGACAAGTCGCAAATAGCTCATTCGCGGAAGGCAATGGTGGTGGAGACGCAGACGAAAACTAGGTGTCAACGATGGCAGCGGTGGCGGCTGTGATTGTTGTGACGTGTTGGTTGTTGATGGAGAAGGTGACGGTGACGGTGACGGTGACGGTGACGGTGACGGTGACGGTGACGGTGACGGTGACGGTGACGGTGACTGCTACGCGGCAGCGCAGGCAGCAGCTTCGGCGTTGACACAGGAGGTGGCCCCAACCTTGAGACATGTTAGAGAAATCGGGACCTTGTTAAGAAATCGGCTAACCCCTTCTGAAACATCACGTCAGTAAGCAGTTTGTGCACGCCATAGCGCACAGCACTATCGAGGTTCTGCGCATGCGCAGATGCTTTCCAGTGATGCGAAATTTACACTGCGCAGAAGATAGTGCCGTCGATTTCCTTAACGTTCGAGGGAGCAAAACTCTAGTATTATCCACGCACGTTTTCTTGAGCCCTAATTTCGCTAGATGCGAGAGGAGTGGCGAATTTGATTATTTTATTGACAGGATTATTATATGAAAATTGTAGCTCGTTTTTCGATGCAAACTATTTTCTATTAGGCAGGAGCAAACACATCTAGTTAGAGTTTGTCAACAAAACGTGTTGCTATCATTTATTCTGAATTCAACTAATATTGAAAAAGGAGTGGGGGTAGGTATGCCAGGGCTCAAGAAAACGTGCACATACAATACCCCTTAAGCCTCTACAGTGAAACCTCCTGAAAGACCACCCCTTTTAACAACCACCTCTCTCAATGACAATTTTTTCTTGGATCGGACACAATTCCATATATTGTATGTAAATCGTACCCCTGTTAACAGACCAACCCTCTCCCCGACCACTGACCAGCCCTTTAATAGCAATTTTCTTAATTTACAGCATTTAAAAGACCACTTTCAGGAATCTGCAGGAGTTAACATGAAAATTGGCGACGTAAAAAGCATTCGGACCTCAGCGTCGTCCGGTGCCTCAGCCTCATTCTCGAGAACATCGGAGGGCGCGGGAACCGGGAAAACAAGTGACAATAAACAGTGATCTATCATTGATTTGGCGATGGCTGCTCGCTCCATTTCAATTTCATTGCTTTTAATGAAGCGGTAGTTATGAAAGCGATCTAAAAGTTAATTCTTTGAATTAACAGACCTTCCTTAACTTACCTTCCTGCAAGAACATTTGGAGCGGTAGCATATCAATGACGGAAGTAAGGGTTATCGACTTGCCCCGTAATCTGAGCCCAGCGCTCACTGATTTTTTTACGAGGTTGAGATTTAAAAAATTGGACGTAGAAGTGTGAGAAATGCGAGGTTTTGCCCTTCTAACACTAAGACATTGAATCTATCATGCATCCCTAAATGATCAATCTACGCAACAATTACAGTTCGTTACCGATAGACAACTATAAACAACCGATAAACAACTGAAAGTGAAAATGACAAAATATGCAAAATAAAACTTTCTCAAAATGTTTCATATTTCACAACTCGTGCTCTTCGAACTAAACGTCTTTCATAAGCAAACGATATAATAACAAAACATCGAACACTGAAAAACGTCGAGTTGAAAACATTAATATTTAAAAAAACAACAACACCGGCTTCTCGCACGTGTAACTGCAAAACACATCGACGTTGATGTCGCATCTCTAGTTTCGATAGATTGATTAATTGGTAGTGATTCCGGGCACGTCAACTAAAGAGATCATTATTCCCGTAAGTGTAGTGTGTTTTTGCTCGGACGGTGGCAGTTTCGTTCCCCCGGTGTATGGCGAGATCCAGCGCCGACCAATCGCCTAGAGGGATATTCCACAATCAGGTATCTCCTACCAGAGGGGTTCCGCCCCAGCCGGGACAAGCTCTAAGCTCCCGTCCGGTCTCCCAGCATGTGTGGCAGTGTAGTGCATATTAGTGTGTGTAACGGCTGATAGGACAAGAAAATGGGAAGGAAAGATCGCGCGTGGTCCGTGGCCCATCTGTTAGGGTACTGCTCCGGCATTCGCATAGTGTTTATCTGACAAACCAAAGAAAACTACCGATCAGAGCAGCCGACCGCTAGAATTCTCCTCCAGTCAGCGCCTAGTTGCGACGTACGCGGTGCCATCAGCACGAAAACATCTTCAATACATCGATGTTTTGAAAACCTCGACACCGATGTTGCATCGCCGGCGACGCGATGTCGGCGACGCGATGTCGGCGACGCGATGTCGGCGACGCGATGTCGGAAACGCGATGTCGGCGACGCTGTCGTCGCGACGTCGGCGGTGCCGCTGCGTCGGAGCCTTGTGTCAGCGGGGTCGACGTCTGTGGCTTTGGCGGCGGCGGCGGCGGCAGCTGAAGCGTCTCTGTTCCGCGTTATCGCCGCGCCACTTGACTCCTCGCGCGACCTCGTGGAGGCCCTGGCGGGCGGGGACGCCCGTCGCCCCACAGCCGCAGCGCCGCGCCGCGCCGCATGCACTGGTGCCGCCAGTCGCTCACGAGTCGCGGTCGCGGTCGCTCCCACAGCGATAAGCTATTCGTAGCGCGTGCGACTACTGCCCGGCGCCGGTTCCGTTGCTCGAGGAAGAGGAAGGCCGCTTCAGCTCCACCCTTCTTCCTGCTTCTAGGTGCGCCTTCTGACAGAGGTACGCAAATGAGTATTGGCGCGTGCCGTCCGTGAACAGGAAAAATGTAATTTTCCTGGGAAAGGGTTTTGTCCCCAGCGTAGCAGTTTATTTCGTGGCCAAAGAAAAGTGTTTTGTCCTGTAATGTGAACTATGTATTTATCCATTTACTAGTAAAAAGAGGCTGCTTTCTAAACATATTTCTTCATTTTACAAAAAAGAATAACGCTATTTGACAATTGTCATATTTCGTGTACTCCGGCGATACGTTTACGCGAGAGATCGAATCACTTTCTCTGATATTGATGATAAGTAGTCTTTTATCACAGGAACGGAAATAATAAGACGAGTATTTTAATGTAATTGCTTTTTTTGTCTTTCTGTGTTCATTTCTTACAATTGGGGACTTATGAATCATAGCAATCCTAACAAAATATTCAAGTGTTTCAATACATATTTTTGCAGAAGTTTATTATTCTAGCAATTTTCATAAAATTTATTTCTTAAAAGATACGTAATGACTTTGCAAAAACAGTTTTTTTTTTTTTTACTTGGCAGGTTGTTTCTTACACAAATTTACAATTGAGTGCTGACGACGCGAGGTGCCCACATGAGAACGCAGTCTGTTTGGATTAACCTACACTGCTTGTAGTATAGCCTGTTGGGACAAATTAGTGTGAGCGCTGAGAATATTGTCTTTAGGTTCTAAATAACAGGAACAGGATCGTCGTGCAGTAGCATAACGAAACGAGTGCGGGCCCTCCCATACAACATTTATCCGGGCCTCCTGTACAAAAGTGTAAAGTTAACAAGTGTAGTGTTGGTAACTTAAGTAGTAAAAATATCCCCTAAAAATGGGCCCATTTTAACCCGGGCTCGCCGGCATTGCGGATCTTGCGGGCCGGAACGTTACCCCACTGTCGTCGTGTTTCTTGATCTTAAATCCCAATTTCTGAGATTCATCGGTTGACGCAGACGTAGAGCACTGTGCTTCAGCGCTCCAAAGATTGTGTACCAGGGAATGAGTTCTCATGTTTGTACAATGAGTATCCTTTATGTCAGAGATAAAATTAACTCTTAAAAAATTAATCCAGTAGCTAAGCCACAGAATATTTATTTTTAAATTGTTTTAATAATGTAATTTCAAATTGTGTAAATTTATTTTGTTTGTAATTATCCTATAAACTAGCACTTATTTTCATATTATATATTATATCCTTTTTTTACATATTTGTTTCACCTTATTATAATTTTTATTACATATTATGTACATATTTTGAGTTCTATACGAAATATTTTTCCGAACTCCTGTAATAAGTATATTAGTGCGTGCCGTCGGTGCACAGAAAGTGACACTTCTCAAAAATGTTATTTTGCTGGAGAAGCGTTTTATCCCAAGTGTAGCCGTTTTTTTCACGGACAAAGAGAAAGTGTTTTATTCTGTAATGTGAACTATGTATTTATTCATTTACTAGTAAAAATAGGCTACTATCTAAACATGTTTCTTCACTTTACTAAAAAATAACGATATTGACAATTGTCACTTACCTTGTGCTCCGACGATAAAGGCTATGGGTTTACGCGAGCCACCGGATCAGCTGCTCTGATATTGAGTTGTGAGACCATCAGCCGAATTGTTATATTGGAGCGTAAGAGGTTGTTCCAAAAGGGCCCACACATTTTCTTGAGTTCCAGCCTTCACTCTGTTTTATGCATGCGTAGTTGAATTATTTACAAACGCAGCAACGATAACATTAATGCGATATTTATTAAAACAATTAAAAAATAACTTCCACTCCTCTCAATTCTTTTTCATCTAACAAACAGAGCTCAAGAAAATGCTCGCGAATAGCAATAATAAAAGGCTATATATGATACAGTGAATCTCGAAGTAGCACAAGGTCTGATTTCTGAATCGCAGTATTCTGATACATGAGAAATATGAGAAGAAAAAACAGAAATTTGGAAAATTATAATCGAATGAATCATAATAAAATGATCAATGATAGTTAAGGCAGAAAATTATGCATTTTATTACAATTTGAAATCACAATTATAATTGTTCTTTTTACGAGTTTTGCATACTGGAAAATAATTTACTACTAAAGTACTATTATTTCTCAGAAGCGTTTAGTTTGCCCAGGAGTTAAACCAGGGGGGAAACCAAGCAATTGATCAGACACGTGGTTGTGAGATTATCACCAGATATATTTCTTATTAGTATACGCTGTGTACGAGTGTTCTGCCTGTTATAAATCATTGAATGTAAATGACACCGCATTGTTTTAATTAGAAGGAATTCTAGGGTTTTATAATGTCGATATTGATTCAGTTGTTAGTTTTGTTAATCTAATATATAAAAATCAATGTTTGTTTGTTGGACGTTGGTTTGTTGGAACGGATGTCTGTTCATCCGATTGCGATAAAACTTCGTCAACGTATTGCTTGCACTTGCGCGAAGGTTATAGGCATAGTACAATGCAAATGTGTGTATGTCTGTCGCAAAATGGGGGCGTTTTTAATTATGATTTATGAGTTTATGATGACTCAAGCACCCCTGAACAGGAGCTTTTCACTACCCGCCCTACCCTCAAGTATTAAGCGCGTCTTCGCTGAGTATTGAGCCACTGCCATTGTGAAAAATCGGCCGGAATTCCTACTTGAACGTTATCTCGGGCAAACAAAATTTGTTCACGACAATGTCATAGCAACTGAATGCCTAAACTTGAGGGAGACCGTTAGGATACTTGACAACCACATCCAAACCAAGACAGAATAAACCCACACTCCCCAAAAAGACTTTCGTCTATTAAAATGTTTGCAGAGTTTAGCCTAAAACGTGATTAACATTCACGTGACTAGTAACGTGTGAAGTATAATACATTGCAAGAACAAATAAGTATTTTTTTCGAGACAGTTTCATACTTATTTCGACATTTTTAGCTTTTTTCAGTCAATTATGTTTTTTTTTGTTTTTGTCCAGATTCAATTTCAACATCGTTTCAAAAGTATACTTAAAATAATCAAATATTTTGGCAAATGTGTATTTTTCTACCAAAAGCTGTCTTATGTACACATACATTAATAAACAGTACTGTTAATTATTCGATTGATGAGTGGCTGACTAGTGTTTTCGGTAGCGTCAACTTCTAAGATCAGTATTCCCATAATCTTAGTGTGTGATATATCGTGGAAGGTGGCGGTGATCTTTCTCCATTCGATATCCAACGTCGACCTACAAGTCGGCTTGCGAGGTTTTCCTCAACCAGGTATCTCCCCCAGCCGGGAGAAGCCCTAAGCTCCCTTCTGGTCTTCCGGAGTATGTAATAATGTGGGAAATATAAGTGAAATTGTGAGTAATAATAATAATAATAATAATAATAATAATAAAATAGTTTCTTTATTAATGGCGAGGCTCAGGCCATAGGGCCTGGCTCTTCCGCCTAACCACTGAACTTTACATACATTTAGAGTAGTAACATTTTTAAGAGGGGAGGACAAGTTGTACATTTACGTCTGGGAGAACAACTGCCATCCCGGCATACGCCCTTAAGCGATTGAAGTAAAACCCAGTAAAAACCTCAATCAGGATGGCGGCTTAGGGCCGAACATTCATAGAAGTGAGAGGGATGAGGGAGAAACCGTAAGGGATGATGGTTTACGAAGAAAAGAGGAAGAAAACACGTCAGCGGTCTGTGGCTTTTTGATAGGGTTTAGCATGGACAGGAGAAACCATGGAAAACTACCGATCAGAGCAGCCGTCCGCTAGAATTCCCCTCTAGACGGCGACTGGCTTCAACCTAGCTATGTTGCTACTGTAGAAAATCCTGCCAATATCGGGACTAGAACCGTAGAAGCTTTCGGTCAGAGAGACTGCTGTGACATTAATTGATGCTCTGAGCCACCTAATCCAGTTTAATTACTATAAAATAGAGAGCCAAATGACTGTTGACTACAGCAAAACACCGTTGACTTTCACAACTAACGAAAATACCGAAATTTTACGTTTGCTACCTAGACAAAATTGTAATGGTATACTCATATAGACCAGCTACCTAAATAGATTAAGGCAACCGCCGGTTTCACACTAGATTTAAAGCGTATCTTTTCGTAAAGTAATTAATGGTTAATCTGGGATTAACATATTTTCGGAAATAAAATATTTTAATACGTAATGCATGGGGACTCCTTTTAAATATGCCATGGGAGGTCACTTCTTTTTCCCCCTGTGCCCTCCCCTATGAACACTCATGCTTTGATAATATACCGAATTAAGTATTTGCTGCTTGATATGAAACAGTGCTGTACCTCCTTTACCAACTGTGGCTTATAAATGTCACTATTTAGCATGAAAGTTAAAAAAGGAAAATAGATCGAATAAGAAATTGCTGTTTTAAAGTTGATGCGGATTTCATGCACAGCGGACGCACTTTATGACGTTTAACTCTTGACTAATAAGAGCTTGATTGTGTAATCTGTTCAACATTTGTTGTACAGGAAATTCTTAATGTCTCGGTGTAATGCAATTTATTTTGTAATTTAACTGCTTACCTTTAAGATAAAATGATAATGAAAAAATAATAATTTCAATAGGTTTTGTCTGTTGCATATTCACTCTCAATGTTTCGTAATATTTTTAATATTATAGATGTACATGAACCACTGCCATTAATTTTTCCACTTCGTCTTGTTGATATCCTGTTCGTTATGTATAGAATTGCATTTTTATAGAAATTATCATTTTCTAGGCGATCTCGATTTAGATATCTCGAGTCATCAAGAGTTTTAAAATGTTAACGTGACAAAATTCGTTTTAAATATTTTAAGTAAATAGTAATTTTAACTTAATATTTTATGTTGTTCTTTGTTTGCAAAAAAGCCTTAACGAAACTGATCTCCAGAAGCAATTCCAAATTAGACATGGAACTTGTATGATTCGATGGTTAGAAATGAATACACGTTTGTTATACGATGTTCTAAATCCCTTGTGTAATCCAAGTACGGCTTTCCCGTTAAATGCT